GGGAATCGAACCCGCATCCTTTGGCTTTAAGTAATTAAGTAATTGTTAATGGTTAATTGTCTAACAATTTAATTTTGTCCAACACTGATCCCATGAAATAGGAGACGAAACATCGAACATTTCTGATGTCACTATGATCCGTCGTGGGTATTTTATCGGAAAGACACGATTAGAATTCGGAGATCCGGCTTCTTCAGACGACTGCCATGAAAATATAAATCAACTTCTAATTATGTACATAATATAAAGACTGAATATACACCGATTGCGAACAAATTTCAATAAAAGTATAGCTTGACTCGCTACTAGTCATGCTAAAGAAACTTTTAGCCCCTCGAGCTTATACGTATTAAAACCATCCTTTAAAATCATAGGGGCGCTTATTTCCGGGGTAGTGCGTACCTTCAAGTAAACACGGTACATGTTAATTCATACGTTGGGCAATTGCAGAACACATCACGAACTATAAATGTTTATAAACTAATCACAAATATAGTTTAAGTCATTACAAATTATATAAAGTTTGTCTCTATGTTCTAAGTTTGCATTGAGGTTATTCAAATAAGTTTAAGTAAGGTTTTGCTATTTTTTTTAATGCTGTTAAATTTATTCTTAACTTTTCTCAAAAATTCTTTGCAAGAAACCATTAAAGTTATCTTTAATACAAGAATGTACCTATCAGATGATTGAAAACATACCGTAAATCGTTCCGGTGTTTTAGTCTAAACTGAATATGATTGATTGTTGTTCTTGGTTATTAAACTGCATACAGTTTTATAAAATTGACTCTATATCAGGTTAAAGATTGTTGCTTTAGACAGTTTGAATTATGAAGATTAATTGTAATTAATTAAAGGAATATATATAAAAGTATCGACTCTTCAGATTATCTTATCTTTTCTATTAGTTTTCAAGATATACATATGTCAAACCTTGTTAAATGAAAGGAAATTTGAAGTTTTCACTTAATATCTCATCATGTTTCAAGTTAAGTACATAGTATTCATTTTATGGCTATGCGACGGAATTCAAGGTAAGGAATATTGTTGATTTTAAATTTACAGTTATTTATAAACATAGCAAAGCATTTGATAACACAAGGGAACAGAATTTTTGTTGCATGAAATTTTATGACTAATATTATACATTTTTGGAGTACTGATTTCAGATCTGAAGTCAGATTATTTGTGTCAGCTTTAGATTTTGAGATAGATATATTAAAAACGTGATTTTCCAGAAAAAAAAATTTTAAGTAGACGTTAGAAAAAAAAATTGTGTGGTTTTATGAAATCACAATGCAAGTAAAACTTTTCGGATTGTAGGCATTTAACTGTAAATTTTCGGAAAATCATTCGATTTAGGGAATTAAAATTAAAATCGCGTTATTAATCTTATCTTAATGATTGGAAAACAGGAATCATAATGGGAAATCAATAGTATACAAGATATCCAACTATAAATGTTAATTTCAATCTGCGTATGAGAGTACGGAATACATAATAAGTACAATCATTCAGATGATAGACGCATGTTAAAAACTGAGAACAATATTTATTTAAATCATTGAATCATTTTGAACTTCAACTTTTCTATCAATACTTTCATCTTCGCTTTGAGTTTCACAGTCTATAAATGTAATTGTCATGCACTTGCACGAATGAGTGAGAATATAAATGCTGCACGGTTAGCTAATGTGAACCATGCGCGCTGTCATTTTGGTCTTGGCTGCTGCGCCATATTAATTTTGACTGCTCTGCCAAGCGTCTTCAGTTTTACCCCTACTCCGCGGCAGGCTGTAATGCGACATGCCATAGATAGTTTCACTTTAACAACTACTACATATCAAAAAATTTTCTTTCATAAGATTTTCTTGCTTGACTTGACTTATAAGAGCTGTTCTTAATGCTCTAACAGTAGTCCGCCATCATGTGGGCATTCCAGTGACCCTACTACCGCTCCTCCACAGTCCGAATATCTTATGGGACCGTTCCCCTTGTCTTCACTCAGATCACCAAGATATTTAGGGAAACGGTCCAGATGTCTGTAGAGGAAGTGCACCTTGATGCTCATATTACAAGCAAGTTGCTGGAAGTGCAACAATATCTCTTCATTGTGCTCCGCATATCTTTCATTCTTCTTATTTCCCAGAAAACTAAACTACTATTAAAACTTTCATCCTTCGTCAACCTTTTAATTTGTGGATCATCAAAAATTTCGGTTTTCAGTTCCTCCGTACTCAAATTATGAAACTTTTTAGAGATGTATTTAAAGCAATCACCATCCTTGTTTAGAGCTCTGACAAATTGTTTTATGAGCCCCAGTTTGATATGCAAAGGTGGCAGTATTATGCGATCCCTAGGCACTAGTAGTCTTTTCTAACCCAGTGCTCAGAATTAGCTCTGCTGTCTCAACAATTATCCTGATGATTTAAAGGTTCTCACCAGATCATTGGTGTTTGAAGTGGGATCTTTTCTATTTTCCCATAATCTCAACGATTCCGCGCATATTTTACATACCATATAAGACACCCAATGCTTGTCGCGGAAATCCAAAGTAATCCAAATATACCCGTTCTACTAACTCCGATACACTAAATCTACAAAATTTGAATATATATTCACCACAAATGTTACAGAAATAGCTGGGATCGTTTTTACAGATAGTTCTCGATGTGGACATTGTAAAAAAAACACTTAAAAAAAAGAAGCAATCCGGGTTTTATGAAAGTTTTTTATGACCAATAGCTCTATCTCAAAAACTAAAGCTGTTAGAGACAATTTGAGGGTAGATTTGAAATCAGTGCCTTTGAAGTAGTTAACAACAGCCATAAAATTCCATGCAACAATAAAAAGATTAATTTTGTTCTCTTGTGTAATTGTTTACATTATATTAGAACCCTCCGATGGGTCATCTTAGAAAAGTAGCATGCATACAGAGGAGGTTCCTGACACATATTTGCACAAAGGCCTCGTACTTGGTTATTTTCAGTTGAGAACCAACTGCTTCATTTAGCGTAAACGTTGAAGTACATATCACTGTGCTGTGTTTATGTCTTAGACATAGAAAATGGACTGCTCATTCTCTATCTAGCTACAAAGTAAATACAGGTAGAAACGTACGAGAGAGACAAAGCGATCGTGTGGCCAGTAGTTGTCTTTTTTTAAGAATTTTGATTGGTCTACGTTAGGAGCGAGAGAAAACAGTAAAGAAGAGGAAAAGAAACAGGTATTGGCTGCATGGTCGTTTTATTTTTTTCTAGAGAGTGGCCTACTTCATGAGGGTATTGCTCAGTCCATTCTCCATGTCTGTAGTTTATGTTATTTCGGGAACTAACCAATCTAATCGAATTAAATTCTTTGGTGCAAAGCACCCACACTTCACGTATGCTAAATGGAAGGGTTTTAAGATAATATACACAATTACTAAATATTTTTTAATTATATCTACAGTTATTAGTATGTATGTATGTATTTTAGGACGTACGGGATTCGGACCCGGGGAGCAAGAATGGGGTTATGTAGACGTTAGGAAGGGTGCTCATATGTTTTGGTGGCTTTACTACACAACCGCGCCGGTTAGTCACTATACTGAAAGACCGCTTGTGATTTGGCTTCAAGGCGGTCCTGGAGGCTCTTCAACAGGTCATGGAAATTTTGCGTTACTTGGACCTCTAGATTTAGACCTTAACGAACGAAACTTTACCTGGGTTAACCTTGTTAACGTGTTGTTCGTAGACAATCCCGTAGGAACAGGATTCAGTTATGTAGATGATGCTAGGTAGAATGTTTGTTGCGTATTCATTAGTATAATTTATAAGTGATTTTAAGTTGCTTTGTATACAAATGAAAAGGATTAATAACGATGTGGTTGTAGAAATATTCGTTTGTAAATAAGGCTACGTCGCATTTTAAATTTTTTCGTATATTTTCGCTTCAGTGATGATTTTCTGTGGTTTGTTATTCATCAACATAAGGTAATCAGTCCTAAGACTTCCTTAACTGTTTGCGAACAGTAATCTAATCTAGATCTACCTCTACCCCTCCTAACTTCCGTTTCTGCCTTTAATATGTCTCTGACTAGACCTTCATGCCTGAGAAGGTGTCCTACTATCTCGCCTATTTCTTATTGACTTCCATAGAGTTCTCTTTCTTTCATTTATAACCTTCACTGTCCACGGTATCGTCAAAGTAGCGGTGACAGTGTACATCCCTGTCTGACTCCCTTCCTAATATTTACTTCTCTACGTTGCAACCCCATCTCTATAACTGCCTGTTGCTTTTTATACAAATTAAGTTTCACTCTTCTATCTTTGTAACTCCTCCCTTCATTTTGTAAGTATAATCTTAACCACCAAAAAATTAAAACCTTTATTTATAATAGAATTTTAACAAAACAATATATATTTTGAAGGTACTTAACTACCACTAATCGGCAAATAGGCGAAGACTTTGCCGTACTCTTAAAAGGTATTTTACAAGTAGTTCCTGAATTTGCCACTGTTCCAATATACATATTCGGACAGTCGTATGGAGGTAAAATGGCGGCAGATATTGCTGTTGCTATTCATGAGGTAAATGATATAAGCAATCTACTCGCTTTGTTTTTTACGTATTTTTATATTTAAGCATGTGGCCAGTGGTGATTTAAAATGCAATCTACAAGGAATTGCTTTAGGAAATTCGTGGATATCTCCACTGGACTCAGTTTTAAATTGGGCACCATTTTTATTGGAGGTGGTGAGTATCAGATACTGAAAATGTTCTTGGTAATATCTCGGGATCCCACGCTAACAAGTGAATCTGAAAATATGCGGATAAAATTCTTTTTGTTATCGCACTACTGTCGTCGTTTTCTAAAAATGCAAAGATTACGATATATCGGTCAATTTTGTCAGTTGATGATAAAGTTTCTCACGTAAGTTTCCATCTGTTGCTTTCAGATATTTATATGTATATAGAAACTAGAGATTACAATTATCTTATCGGCAAGTGAAGTTGTTTCTCAAGTACTGTACGTAGAAGTCGGTATCATAATGAACGAACGCACAGATATCCTTTTGAAAATTTCACTGCTCACTTAAATTTTGGTAAACATCCTAGGTCACCGATAAACAGATTAACTGAACCAATAGTGACTTTAAGGAGGTCAACTGAAAACTAGGATACTATATAGAAACCTTCAATTTGAAATAAACTATTAAAAGCCTAGAAAAATAGGTTTGGAAAAATTTCACAGAACCTCAACGAACTATTAAAAGAAATATTCCATTTTTAATATCGTTAAAAATACGGGATGGTGGATATTAATTGTTATGGCATAGATTTTGGATCAAAAAGTTTTTATTCTTCTATTGTGATATTTAAATTTTCATTTTCTGTGAGAGAAAGTACCTACTTTAAGAATGAGTTGAAATGAAACTAATATGCTTGGTGGAGTTGTAATCATTAACTCTTGAAACTAACTTAGCAACAATAAATAACGAAGTTAATACAAAGACCACTAATAAAGAACTGAAAACATGACAATCTGTGACATATAACTACTGTAAAAACCCATTCTCAATTTTTTTACCACTATAAACTACCTCAGGTTAATGAAGGAAAATTTATTGTTGTTGTAACACCCTCGCCGGGAATCGAACTCGGGACCTTTAGGTTTACGCACCAATGGTGCTTAGTGGTCAGAGCAAAAATTTTGATACGATCCAACGACAAATCAATTTCAAATTCAAAGGATTTTTAATATACTTTACCATTTGCTTAAGACGTGTCCACTAATTGAAACAAAAAAATTAAGCTCGTACACAGATCCAGTCTAGGACCAATCATAACATATATAATACATTCGATCAGTTTCCTACATCTGTACCCTATTTGTTCACTTTCTGGCTTTTGCTAATAGGAATGTATCATATTAAATTTTTTAAATTGCATCTTAATATACTATGTCTACTACGTGCCCAGAAAAAATTTTTAATTTGGAGAACACTTCACGTTTTTCATTCAAGGAATAGACAACATTGTAATGTTCGTGGGTGTAACAAAATTAACTTCTAAGACTGATAACGACAAAAACTATTTATTTACACTAATTATTAAAGAACTTAAAAACACTATTAAATCATTACTAAACTTAGGTTATGAATTATTCTATTTATTTACACTACTGTTGATATATCACTATTCACTGCACTATTTATTTCACTGCTATCACTGTCAATTTATTTCTCGATTCACTTCTGCAACGGTCAATTTATATTTCTTGTTCTTGTTTAAATACTCTTGTTTACTTTCGGGAACCTTCTGGACAACGTCCGGATAGTCTATTTTTCTTTGAATTGTTCAACTGCTTTCCCAGAACGCAGGTACGACACACACATTTACAAATACGGCGCATATGAAGAAAAGCGCCCGCAGCTAGTCGACAAATCGATAAGCCGTTCACGCGAACGTTGTGTCCAATCGCACACAAACACACTCGTCTCGCTACAATATGATAATAAGTGATGTTTCTTCATTTAGACCACATAAATCCTGGTGTATGATTTCACCAGTAAATTTTGATTTGTTTACACTTACCTTCAAGACAGGTCGCACAAAAATGTTTTTTATTGCATAAGACGGCAATATTATTTCCTTTTAAAACTTCTTTCACATAACCAAAATTTTTATGTCTCAGCGTGATATAATATATAATAATTTTTACTAAGTTCATTTAGCATCACAGTTGACATCTTGTTTTAAACAATTTTATCACTCCTCTGCTCACCTACCTTCTTACATGCATTAGGGTGCAGTGGATGAAAAGGGATATAACGCAATCGATGCTGCAGCTCAGAGGACCAAGAGAGTATATGAAAGTGGCGATTACGTCCGTAGTACATCAGAATGGAGCCGAACTGAACGAGTTGTCTGGAGAGAAAGCTACAATGTTGATTTTTATAATATTTTGGAACAAATTCCTGGAGATGATGCAGCTGCCATCCTAAGAAGTATTTGTAAGTATCTACATTATTAAAAGTTTTATTAAAAAACGTTGTCGGTTCAGTTCAGTTCAATTGTGAAATCTTCGTATAAGAGTGTCAGGTTGTGACATGCTACAAATGGGTTCATTTTTGCAGTACCAGAAAGAAAAACCAGCATTTTGCATTAAAAATTTTAATATAAAATACCGAAACTTAAATAAAAAGAAAATATACACATTTAATCAAAATGAAAAACATTCTAAAACTATAAAGAAGACCGGCCTACCTGTTGGGGTCCTTGCAGCAACTTCTTTGTTTTCGGTAGATTGAGGTTCCTTTTCTTTTACTTCTTATTAACTTGTCTAAACCTCCAGAACCCTGGACCTCTACTTGTTTTCTAGGTAATATGTCGTAGCTTTTGCAGTTCCTCCAAAATTCCCTTGAGTTAATATTTAAATTAGAGACGGGATATGTGTCTACTTTAACTTTCAACGGCCTTCTTCTGGAACCTTGTTCCACCGATCGATCACCCTGTTCATTCACTCCGTTGCATTAATCCCTTTCACATTTTACCAATATCGCTATCGTATGAAAGATCTCCAAACGCACTTCCGTCTACCCTTACAGTTCACTCTAGTAAATGCATGCAGGCCGCTACAAGGGGAAATGATGATAAACGAATAAACAAACATTTCAAACATTGGTATATTCAGTTGGAATTTTAGATAACATCCATGTTCTATTAGTGGTTAGATTGCTTGAAGGGTGACGTGCAAAGGGTTGTAGAATGTATAAAAATCAATTATTTATACTTCGTTTTCCCTTTTTTGGTTTTCTGTTAGGCACATTCGTAATACTCGCCATATCAATACTATAAATGTGATTAGGAAGAAAGGACCCGCTAAATTCTTACAGAAAATGGCCCTCTGTTAATCTACGATATTTGGAATTTTGGATTGTGGTAGATCAAAAGTATCAATAATAAGTCGTAAAAACCCATCTTTTGAGATATGATCCCTTAAGGTTGCATTCTTCCGTAAGGACTTCCAAGGTACAATTATATGTATTAAATACATTCAAGTTTGTTGCATATTATGAATGTGCCATGGCTTCGGACCAGGAATTATAATACATACATAAACGTGTAGTGCACCTCAATATCATAGTGTACTTATGGGATAAGAAAGTTGGTGTACTCATAGATATATTCAGACACCAACATATAATCTGTTATTTACAGTTGTATCACATGCTTCTCTAAAAACAGTCCTAAACTAACCGACCTCTTAAAATCTTTTGAACAACGCTTTAAATTTTCTTTATTGGAGTTACACTACTTTATTATTTACATGAAAAGTATATAGTTACGAAGAGATATTGAGATGTAACATTTTTTATTATTCCATCAGCTTCAACTACTCCAATTGCGAAACCAGGAGAGGAACGAAAAACATATTCTGAAGATGAACTTATGAATGGACCTGTAAAAGAAGCTTTAGGTTTAAGTGTTACATGGGGTGCTCAATCATCACCAGTATTTGACTACCTAAGTGAAGATTTTATGAAGCCTGTTACTCATACGAGTAAGAGATGTTCATATCATTCTTAATATAAGACTTAACAAGACTTGTTTTAGTTGAGCATCTCCTCAACACAACTAATATAAAAGTGTCGGTGTATTCAGGTCAACTGGACTTAATCTGCTGCACTCCAGGTATTTTATCGTAGTACGTATATGTAGGTATGCCTGAATTTGATATTTTTAAAAATGTGATTTGTTTTAATCCATCTCCATCGAGTGTTTATAAGCATACACGCCGTAAAGGATTAGGTTAAAGTGGATTTTTACTACTACAGATAACCCTAAATGAATGAGGAAATTTTGTTGCCGCTGTCGCGCCCTCGCCGAGAGTCTAACCCGGGTCCCTGGTTTTACGCGCCAAAACAAACTTTAATGTACTAAAAAACGTACAAAATTTCTTCTAAAACGGAAAAGTTCACATAATTTTAACTTTTAATATTTATACGAAATGTTTGGTCTAATTAGTATACTACTTATTTAGACCCATTTGATTTTCTTGCAGTAATACATATTGAAAATTATTAAAACAGGGTGTGGATATTCCTACATAAACGTACTTATTCCAAAGTACGTAACCGAGCGGCATGGCCTAGAGGTCTAGACCATTGCTTAGCATTCGGGAGGACGCCAGTTCGATTCCGGGTCCGTCTGCCTTGGTCCAAAGTTTTTCTGTGGTTTCCTTGGATCACTTAGGCAAATGCTGAGGCAGTAATATTCCACAGATAATCTTTCATTCTCTTCTGTCTTCATTTCGTCCGTCTCATCTTTCTCACCCGAACCACCACCCACCCATTCCCATGATTCCTGAAAGCAGGCTGAAGTGGGCCTTCCGCCCTACCTTCCGGCATAGTCCGGAGAGACTGCCCGCCCACTAGCATTACTGGCTGGTGGGAATGAAACACCCAAAAGTTTTTTTTAGTTTTTTAGTACGTAAATGGTCATTAGCTACATTTTTCGATCAAAGTTCGAAAAATGTATGTTTTGTATGGTTTTTGGATGGGTGCAAATGTCTAAACCTAGGAATGTGTAGTTGGTATAGCTAAAGCGTTCTTTACGATTTATAGTTCGGTAGAGGTATAAAGCCGAATACTAAAGCTCAGTCATAACGTAATGTAAAAACAAATGTAACGAAGTTTTCCGGGCTGCAAAACCCTTATCCATTGGAATTACTTCCTGACGTTTCGTTCAAAATTGTAGTGAACATTATCAAGGGCAATGCGGTAACGGTCGAAGTTGTCTTCCTTACCTCTCGACAATGACTGGTCCTTCAACTATTGTTTTTTGTTTATATTATTCTCGAGGAGAGGAAATCTTCAAAAGACACCTCCTGAAGGGAGGTAATGTTGGATTTTTACCGACTAAAACTGGGAGATAAACCCGAAGGTTGCTCATGCCCGGGAAGGAAATGGAAAGGTTGAGAGTGGGAAGAGGATTGAGTTAGGAATATGGTTGAGTGTGGGGGTGGGAGAAATGAGTATTTGGGGAGATAAACCGTCGAAGTAGGTTGTCCACCTCTGAAGTGATGAGTTCCTTCAACCAAAGTGACCGCTCTGTTTATACCATCCTGCGTTGTTGAAAGGGCGGAGGGCTTGGGCGTCACTGATGCGCAACGTAGTGCATCTTTCCAGTTCTAGTCGAGCAGCCCGGAAAATTTCAACACACTTACTTTGACCAGCCACGAAAGTCTACACAGTCTGAATGTAAAAATAATTCTAGAGAAGTGTTACTATGTCGGATTTGGATAAATTAGATTAGGGATGAGTAAGGCTACTTTTTTTTTTAAATATTCTGCTATATGCGATCAAAATTAGAAAAGAGCGCGATGGTCATGTACAAATTACGCAATCCTAGATCAACCGATTTTAATTCAATTTTCCAATATGTCAACGTGTTTAATAATAAAAAGATTCTTCTTCAAAGGAACTTATCAGTGGGTGACTAATCTTCAGTGGATCAATAAGGCTCACTGGACAAGAGCACCGAGGCCCGCATTTGCAGTGTCTGGAATTAACGAGGGATACGTCAAGAAAGCGAGAAATTTCGCGTTTTACTGGATTAATAGAGCTGGTCACTCGGTATGAATCTATGAAAATTGAAGAAACAAGAACCTTTTTTAAAAATTTATTATTTTTATATAGTCCACAGAAAATAACCCAAAGGGAGGAAGATTTGTTCTTCTTGACGTAATTGGACTTTCAGGGAAAGTGTCACCAGAATATTAACCTCCCTTCTAGGATGGTACGGACATAACAATAAATGCATGTACAAACGATGTTTATGTGAATAAACTTGATGGGCATACATTAGATTTTTATAATATCAATTATTTTCCCTCTTATTATCTGCATTTTTGAACCGATTTTCGGTGAATCTTGAGAATTGAAAAATTTTGGCGGTGTTGTAGAACACTTTATAAGCAAGGCATCCAAAACTGGTAAAGCAAAACACGAATTCGATGATGAACTTAATTTTGAAAGAAAATCCTGATGTTACAAGAGTTTAAATCAAAAACAGCAAAAATATCATACGGATACTTTAGACAAAGTCAAGGAAAATACACGTGCTGAATAAAAGAACATGATAATTCACTTAAAGCACATACTTTAGCTTTTTCCCTTCCCCGACCTTTTTCTTTTTGCTTTTCATAATGTTTCCATAACAATAGACTTTTCTTTAGCTTAGTAGAATGCAGATTCGGGCTATAGGGCCGTGGTCTAAGTGAACGATTCCGTCCAGACGTTTCGTCAGCTACTGCGGCTGACATCTTCAGTGGTAGTGCTGCGTTGACAACGTGAACGTAGACCCAGTCGCTGTCGAGACATCGAGATACAATCTACGTTCACGTTGTCAACGCAGCACTACCACTGAAGATGTCAGCCGCAGTAGCTGACGAAACGTCTGGAGGGAACCGTTCACTTAGACCACGGCCCTATAGCCCGAATCTGCATTCTACTATGGATTCCGGCCGTGAAAGCCTTTGTTCTTATATTTTCTTTAGCTTGTTTCTTCTCTTTATCGTCCTGCTCTTTTACAACGTTCTTATCTTTTTCTCTCTTCATTTGCTTTATTTGTCTATGCTATCAGCCTATCTTCCCTATCATTTGTATTGCCTAATCCAAAAGAACCTGCTATTGCACCCACTTTACCTTCACCTATTACTGCGTTGAAGTCTCCTACAACTATTAGCTTCTCCTACCCCTTCACTAAACTTAACGTCTTCTATATCTGCATAAACTGCTTCTACGTCTTCATCACTGTAAGATGATGTAGGCATGTAGACCTGCACTAATACCGTCTTTACCGGCTTCGAGTTTAATTTAACCATAACTATCCTATCGCTTTTTTGTAAATAACTTTCTATACTCTGCCCTACCTTCCTACGCATTCGTACCCTCGAAATACCTTCTACCGATCCTGTATGTATTACTCTAAAGTCCCCACTCCAGAAGTCTCCAGCTTCGGGCCAACGGACTTCACTAATACCTACTATATCTAATTCTAATTTCTCATTGTCCTAACATTCCATGCTCCCTCCGACTCGTGAAATATTGCACCTATCCCTATTGCAATTATTGATGACATCCCCGCCCGAATGGGGGACTAGTTTACGTCCGGAGTGCTTTACGCCAGAGGGCGCCATCATTTAATTTGTAACGTACGTTTTATGTGGTGGTTTCCCGTTGCCTTCCACATCGCAGTATTGTGCATACCGATCCTCGTGATCTCTACCACCCTGATGCCCGTTTGCACCGACGTAAATAAGTACTACTTAGCTTTAAGTAGTTCTTAAAAGACGGAATTGGTTNACCACGTTTAAACTCTGCATACCAACGACAAATCGCTGGTTTTGATGGAGAGGAGTCCGGGTAACGTTTCTCATGCCCGTTTGCACCGACGTAAATAAGTACTACTTAGCTTTAAGTAGTTCTTAAAAGGCGAAAATGGTTTGCACCGAAAGTTAAGTCGAGCTTAAGAATCGAAACAGATGCTTAACTTTAAGCAAAGGATGTTCCTGACTTAAGCATTGCTTAAGTCTGTCGTAAGAATTTCGGTAGTAGTTCGGTATTTTTCGTTGCGAGAACAAAAAAATAACATGGTTATAGTAAAGAGGTTATTATCATATTTACTATTAAATAATAAAATAAGCAATATGGTAATTATTATTAAATGGAAGTTAGTGTGTGTTATCGTTTATGTTATTGTATTGTAATGTACGGATTAATTACATTCCAAGAGTAGTAATTAGCATGTGATGAAATATTAGAAATTTGAAAATGTACACAATTTAGCTGGAGTAGTGATAAAAACGTCATTAGCTGATCATTAGTAATTAAAGTAAACCAACAATATACAATAATAATACATTTCATCAGAAGCAGAAGCAATTAACCATGACAATAGAAGCATTAACAAGTTGTTAAGGGTAGTTGGAACAACTTAATCAATACAGCAAACATAAGAAAACTGTTGTATATAAAAGGCAAATTTTGCAGAATATTCTTCAGTAAGTATTTGTCTTCTGTTTTGTGCGTTGTTAAATATATTTGTGAGCTGTTGTCATTTTTGTGTTATTGTTGTTTTCCTGTTTTTATTAATTGTTATATAGTTGTTGCTTTTCTGTTTTTGTTATTTCTTTTTTTGTGATATTAGTTACAATTTTTGTTAACTTGCACTATGGATTTGCAAAACATTCATGATATTTTTGATGACGATATGAAATTATTGGAAATTGTAGATTTTGGATTTCCAAGAATGCTATATACTCGTTCAGATCATTTTCATGAAATGGACGAGTTTACCTTTTATCAACAGTTTCGTTTAACGAAACCGACATGCTTAAGGATTCTGCCACTAATAGAGGAACAGCTGGAATTCCCTAACAACAGGTAAGTTAATTGTGAGAAGTTTCTTTTCAGCAAGTCACAAAGAAATTTTAAAACATTACAGGAATAACAGTGTATCTCCAATGAACTAGTTATTAACATGTTTGCGATATTATGCTTCTGCTGGTCACCTGGTAGCCATCTCAGACTTTGCAGGGATGCACACTTCAACAGCATCGCGTATCGTAAACAGGGTGTCCAGAGCTATAGCGTCTTTAGGGGCACAATTTATAAAAATGCCTGACACACAGGAGGAAGTTGTGCAAGTTCAAAATGAAATTGCTCGATTTCCAAGAGTTGTTGTAGATGGAACACACATAAAAATTCAATCACCAGGTGGTGATGATGCAGAAGTGTTCCGAAATAGGAAATCTTATTTTTGTATAAATGTACAAGTTGTTGGAAATGCAAACTTGGAAATAATATTGTTGCAAGGTGGCCTGACTCAACACACGATTCTACTATTTTTAACAACAGTAGGATACGAGCAAGAATGGAAAATATGGAATTTCCGAACTGCTTTTTACTAGGTACATATACTTTTTTTATTTTAATAGTGATTCTTACGTAATTTGTTTGTATGAGGCAGTAGATACCCACTTAGGGGCTATTTTTTAACACCCTTGTTAAATCCGCGGGGAAGGGCTTCTGTTCTATATAATGAAGCACATATTAGAACAAGAAATACAATCGAACGATTGTTTGGCCATTGGAAACGGCGCTTCCCTGTCCTTGCCTATGGGATAAGGCTTCAATTGTGAACAATATTAACAGTGATTGTTGCCAGTGCTGTTTTGCAAAATATTGCAAGAACAGCAAACGATTTAGAGGTGCCGCCACTACCTGACGACATTGACGCCATTGACGCCAACGAATTAAATGGCCTGATTGAAAATGGAAATTTCGTTGACGATGGAGGTGCCGAAAAAAATTTAAATGCAAGACAAAACTTAATAGAGAACTATTTTAATAATTTACAGTAATTTATATTTATAAATACATAATTTAATAAAATTTCCAACAATTATAAACAACTTTTATTTAAAAAATTTAATTTGGCTTTTTTAATTTCTATATCTAATAACAAAGATTGTTTTTCTAATTCATGCAGCTCCTGCTTATGACGTTGTTGTTGTAGCAGGTGCTGCTTTTCGAGTTCACAAACTTCCAGCCGTTGCTGTAACAGTTTTGTGTACTTATCAGCAACGGCCGATGATGTGAGGGCCCTCACAACAGTGGCCGGACGTCTTCTGCTAGGACCACTACCCTACAAGTATCGATATAAATATTTCACATATAACAGTTACTATCACATTTACTATTGCATTGTGGAGGCTTCTGCTTACTGGCGTTTGCAGTAATGCAGCAGTGCTCTGGCAAGCAGTACTATTGATCTAAAACAAATGAAATGTAATAATGAGCCGTATTTGTAATTTCTGATAATAAAGTACTTCTTGTAGAGGTTCCACCATTCCACTGCCAGTTGCACCTTTGTATACTGGCATATAATCATTTTCGGAGTCCTACAATATACGACATATACAAAACAGTTCTAAAATATTATAGAAAAATGCAAATTTTTCATAAAAGCAATTAACCACCACAACCTTCGACTATTCTATCAATTGTATTGATATTTATAATTGATGAGAGAAAAATCAGTAAGTATACTTATAAGTTTCAATTTTCCATTACCTCATCAGTCTCAGCAATAACTTCTACAGAGTTATCGGCCATAAAGTGCTCCAGCAATGGTGTTTTTGACATTGTCTGCATAATAAAGGGACAGATTAAGTATACTGTATATTTACATACTTTTTATTATTAATACATACTGATGTATTTTTAATAGGTGGTAAGCTGCCCGAATCGCTATCAAATTCATTTGTGAGCCCATGAATGGTTTTGTCATTCACGATTGATAAAATTAAATCCATGTTCGGGGTGTTTAGTTTTTTCTCGGGCCCTCCACCTTCAATAAAGTCTTTATACTTGTCTTCTACATAAATAATTTGTTACCTGTTATGTAACGCTCCTTTCTATCTTCTGCAACTACCTTCCTTATATGCATTTTTTTATTAGTGTAAAATTTTTTAAGTGAATTTGCCGTCCTATACCGCCCATCAGGACAAGTTGCATTAAATTCCCGTTCAATACGCATCCACATTTGCATTTTTGGATCATTTGTGGTGCTATCAGTTTTTTTGTTTTCTATTACATCCTTATATTTAAATACCAAACTAAACAGTTTTTCTTTTTCAGATGCCAAAAAATTAGCATTTCTACCTTTTTTTCCTGTTAAGCAAAACATTATTTCATCAGTAAATTATAAATTGCTGAAATCGTCTATATTTACCAATATCCATGTCGACTATGTATGTGATATTTTGTATTTTATAAAAAATGCCTGTACACTATACTAATT